ATGGCAGGGGATTGATTACAGTGTATTATAAAACCATTGCCAGGATTACCTACTAGCTTTGCCATGGCAAGGGATCGATTACAGGATCAAATACTGTCATTGCCATAGCAAGGTATTGATTACTTGATTACAAACTATCATCGCCATGGCAGGGGATCGGTTACAGGAATATCATTGCCATGGCAGGGGATCTTTTACAGGATCACATACTATCGCTGCCATGGCAGTGGATCGGTTACAGGATCACAAACTATCATTGCCATGGCAGTAGATCAGTTACAGAATCACATACTATCATTGCCATGGCAATAGATTGATTACAGGATCACATACTATCAGTGCCATGGCAATAGATTGATTACAGGATCACATACTATCAGTGCCATGGCAGGTGATTTATTACAGAGTATTATAATATCATTGCCAGGATTACCTACTATCTTTGCCATGGCAAGGGATCGATTACAGGATCAAATAGACTGTCATTGCCATAGCAAGGTATTGATTACTTGATTACATACTATCATTGCCATGGCAGGGCATCGATTACAGGAATATCATTGCCATGGCAGGGGATCGATTACAGGATCAAATAATATCGTTGCCATGGCAGGGGATCGATTACAGGATCAAATAATATCATTGCCATGGCAGGGGAGTATTTTTTTTGATAATCATTTAGATGCCAGGGAAAAATTTTTATTCGTTTGTCATGACGAATAAAAATTTGTTTCATAGGAGCGTGTTTTTGATAATAGAGCTACGTGTTTTTCAAATTGTGAATACATATGATTGAGGCAGGCTAGCTCGTTCAAATATGAGGAATTTTGTTTGTTCACATCTTTTTTTATTTCTTTGGCAGGGGATCATGGCAGGGCATCATTTACAGGATCACATACTATCGCTGCCATGGCAGTGGATCGGTTACAGGATCACAAACTATCATTGCCATGGCAGTAGATCAGTTACAGGATCACATACTATCATTGCCATGGCAATAGATTGATTACAGGATCACATACTATCAGTGCCATGGCAGGGGATCAAATGCAGGATATTATAATATCATTGCCATGGCAGGTGATCTATTACAGGGTATTATAATATCATTGCCAGGATTACCTACTATCTTTGCCATGGCAAGCGATCGATTACAGGATCAAACAGACTGTTATTGCCATAGCAAGGTATTGATTACTTGATTACATACTATCATTGCCATGGCAGGGCATTGATTACAGAAATATCATTGCCATGGCAGGGGATCATTTACAGGATCACATACTATCGTTGCCATTGCAGTAGACCGGTTACAGGATCAATTACTATCAGTGCCATGGCAGGGGATCGAATGCAGGATATTATAATATCATTGCCATGGCAGGGGAGCGATTACAGTGTATTATAAAATCATTGCCAGGATTACCTACTAGCTTTGCCATGGCAAGGGATCGATTACAGGATCAAATACTGTCATTGCCATAGCAAGGTGTTGATTACTTGATCACATACTATCATCGCCGCGGCAGGGGATCGGTTACAGGAATATCATTGCCATGGCAGGGGATCATTTACAGGATCACATACTATCGTTGCCATGGCAGTGGATCGGTTACAGGATCACAAACTATCATTGCCATGACAGTAGATCAGTTACAGGATCACATACTATCATTGCCATGGCAATAGATTGATTACAGGATCACATACTATCAGTGCCATGGCAATAGATTGATTACAGGATCACATACTATCAGTGCCATGGCAGGGGATCGAATGCAGGATATTATAATATCATTGCCATGGCAGGTGATCTATCACAGGGTATTATAATATCATTGCCAGGATTACCTACTATCTTTGCCATGGCAAGGGATCGATTACAGGATCAAATAGACTGTCATTGCCATAGCAAGGTATTGATTACTTGATTACATACTATCATTGCCATGGCAGGGCATCGATTACAGGAAAATCATTGCCATGGCAGGGGATCGATTACAGGATCAAATAATATCCTTGCCATGGCAGGGGATCGATTACAGGATCAAATAATATCATTGCCATGGCAGGGGAGTTTTTTTTTTGATAATCATTTAGATGCCAGGGAAAAATTTTTATTCGTTTGTCATGACGAATAAAAATTTGTTTCATAGGAGCGTGTTTTTGATAATAGAGCTACGTGTTTTTCAAATTGTGAATACATATGATTGAGGCAGGCTAGCTCGTTCAAATATGAGGAATTTTGTTTGTTCACATCTTTTTTATTTCTTTTGACACGAATGCCTTTTAATCAAAAACGATTTATATCCTAGATTTCTGTTTTCCGTTTAAATTTGGTCAAACAGTTGCAATATTGGGAAAATGGTCACTTTGTATTGGCCAATCAAAGACATAAGAAGACAGTAACTTTTCTCAGCTATATTGTAGTCGATCAATATATTGAGTGCTTATCACAGGATTGAGCGGCACACTTATTTATTCATAAACGAACGGAAGAATTTTTTCAAATTTTAATTTTAAGGTAGGAGACGCTAAATTCATCCCTTCCTTTATATAATTAAGGGAGACGAGGAAAAAATGTTTGTTTTTGTTTTTCTTTTTTTAATATTTTTCCAGTTTTCAACCAAAAAGGTTCGAATTTGCCTTAAACTGCAGTCGGAGCATTCAGGGTTTCACCCTGCTTTCACTTAGTGGTTTGCGATGAGGCTACAAGGCTGTTCGTACGTTCATATATAAATGTTCGGAGAAATGCGAAACTTTTTGTATGGAATAGTTTTTAATCAGTAGATTTTTGTTGATCGAAATAATAGATATTACCGAAAAAATCAATTGCACCATTGAAGTTTATGAATCTAGTTTCAATGAGTTTTGCACTATTTTTGTAAAATTCTGGGTGGGGGTGAAAATTGCCAGTTTGGCCATGCTTTGGGATGAATTATGCGGGCTGTGATGATTTTATCAATGATACTGAAAGCGTAACGCTTTTTACGTATGCATCACGATTTATTCAGCTTTTTGTAACTGTAGCAAATTGGAATGAAGCAAGCTATTCGTATTAATTTTGCTTGCTGCTTCAACCTCCCTTTTTCACTTTTGATGTTTGATATAGTTCAAAGTTTTCAATTTTTTAAATATTTTTGAATCGACAGCTATTCGATATCAGATTCTAGAATGTTTACTGCGTGTGAACGTTTATGGAGAATTTTTCCAGTTTAAAAAAACTGCTGAAAATTTCTTAAGAAAAATAAAATTTAGAAAAAAACATCCTCCGCACACCATGAAAAATTGCTATATTTTGCTTTTTTGCTTATTACTAACAAAAACACCGAATAGCCTGCCTCAAACAGTCTGCCTCATAACCTACATTGAATAGCCTGCCCTAGATTTTATTTGCGTAACAAAGAGACTATATAGCCTGCCTCAGTCAGTTCAATTTGGAACGCTTTCTACTATGCTCGATTATTTCACCACTGACGCGTTATAGAGCGATACATATCGCACGCTACTTGGTCCCAATTTGGTCAAATTAGCTAATTTTCAACCCACCAGACCCTAACAAACTATAATCACCAGTGAATTTTTCTTTGAATCTGAGTTGAGGGCATACATACCTTTCATATGGTGTTAACAACGCAAAAAGTGGCAAGTTAAAAAGTGGCAATTTGTTTATTTATTAAGGAACGATTTAATCCTTCGCTTTTGCGTGTTATATGAACTATTATAGTGCCAGCTATTATTCCAAATTGGCCAAATTAGCATTTTTCAAACAACCATAAAATTTTAACAAGACTGCTTGTATCAGGGCGAAGCTCTGAAAGTTCCAATTGCCTTTTAACGTTTATGGAGCATTAATAACATAAACAATAAAAAAATTGAATGAAATAAAATAAATGAAAATTTTTTTTTTCTAAAATTTGAAAATTTTTCGATAAAAATCATACCCCCACACGCCATATAAAGTACAAAACAATAAATTTCGCACCTTGTAACAACTCAATTATGGCGTATAAGCTTCATTCAACCGATTTGGAACAATTTCTAAGACGAATTAAATCTCCGCTTACGCGTTAATATCGCAAAATATATCGCGCGTTAATTGTCCCAAATTGGCCATAATGGCAGGACAACAATAGCTTTCGTATGAAAAAAAAAATTCCTTCAAAAATGGCTATTTAAAAAGTCGAAATTTGTCTGAAAAAAAGATAACCCACCAGAGCACAAATATTCCGTTACTTTCGTTACGAAAGTCGGAACAATAAATCCCACTCCGAGTTGCTCATTTTTTATTGAATCTTTCAGACAAAACTGGCCAATCTTCCAGGGCTTGTGTGCACACTTTCCAGATCCGCCTGACACCGTCTTTACTCTGTGAAATATCCATGATATGTCGTAATGGGTGGAAAATGACCTGTGAAAAAAGTGTTTATTTTCCGCTCAAGTATCCAGTGGAAAAAAGAAAGAGCGGAACTCCCATTCTCTTAATTTAATCCATGCATTCATTGTATTGTTTACTTTTTCCTATGTTTTAAAGCTTAGTTCGCAGATCAGTTCACTCCTGTACCAATGTTTGAGACCAAGTAAAAACAACACCACGAGCATATATATTTCGTTTTCTTTGAAAGTAGAAAAAAAATCACACCGAGCGCAAAAAATGAGTTACTTTCCTTGAAAGTCGGAATTTGTAAAAAAAAAATTCACTTCCGTGAGTCAAAATAAAAACAAAGTATCCTGATTTTTTGAAGACTGTATCTATTTGGTATTATTATACCTGTCATTATATATAATGCAGGATCAAATTGATGAAACTCAAAAATTTTAAGTTGTTTACGACATAGAACGACATACCGTGCGCTAATTGTTCCCAATTGGCCAAATTGGCTATTTTCAAACCCCCATAACTTAAAAATAGATGATGACAGATGAAATTTCTTTTTGGCTTTGAGATCAGGGCAATAATTTTCAGATGGGATAAAAGACTTTACTTAAATTGGCCGGTCAAAAAGTTCGAAAGTGGAACAATAAATTCATCGTGTTTTAGTTATTTGGAATACTTTGCAGCTGCATAAATAGTTGGCAATGCGCTTGAAGCACTTCTGAAACTGAGGATACTTGGCGGCATAGATGAGGGGATTGAGAGTTGTTGCAGTGTGCACTAACCACACGGTCACATAGTACACCTGAAACAAATAAAATCTGCACCAACCAATGATAGATGTAAAAAAAGACGATTGAATTTGGTTTGTTTTATATGAACAAATCTCAACGTTTTTAGCAGGGGCTGACTTCGGGTTTTCTCTAAGAGGGATTTTCAAAAAAAGCTGAAAATTTTATCAACTTTTTTTAGGTTGACAAAATTAACTTTCCGAGGTCTCCGAAAGCACTAAAAAGACCCTGTTTTGGTCCAATTTTTTGCGCCGCAGGCGAACGTTTGAAAAAACTCTCGCCTCAAAATTAGTATATAGTGTCGCCAAAGGCGCTTTTTGAAAAAATTTATGGCCAGCCAGCCAAAATTGAGGTCTTAAAAAGTACCAAAGGTCAGGGGGACAAACCCCTGAGAGAGGGTGTCAGCCCACTCCCAAATCCGGTACTGGATTTTAGCAATAAAAATCCAAATTTTGCTCGCGGCAGGCTATAAATAACGCAATTAGGCGGATTGCGCCTCACCCCGTGGTACACTCTGTCTTGGAAGTCGAAAGTGACAAGGAGGAACCAGGGAAAGTTAGCCACCAGGAATGCAGCGAACATCATCATCAGTACCTTCATCAGCTAAAGCACAATCATTAATCACTCACAACTTCATTTCAAAGTACAATTGAAAAAAAAGGCACATAAAAAGCGCGACCGAAAAAAAAGCGCGATAGTTTCTTCGGATTGAAAACAAAGTTTTCTTCAAAATGTTAAATTTTTTCTAGTTGTAACTTCTATAGCTGAACAAGACTACCCGTATCAGGAATGTTCCGACTGCCTTTTAATGTCTAGTGAGCAGTAATAACATGAAAAATTTAAATGTAGTAAAACAAGATTAAAAATTTTCTTGAAAAAATTTGAGATTTTTTGTGCTAACATCCACCCACACGCCTTATTAGGTACAAAGTAATAAATATTGCTCCTATTAACAAATCAATTAAGGCGTATAAGCTTTCTTGAATCAATTTGGAACGATTTCTAAGACGGATTAAATCTCCGCTTACGCGTTAATTGCGCGAATTATATCGCGCGTTAATTGTCCCAAATTGGTGAAAATGGCGAAAATTGCAATCTTTAAACCCTCATAACAGGTGAAATATATTTTCAATTTTTAGCTCAAGACAACAATAGCTTTCGAATGATATAAAAAAACTCCGTCAAAATGGCTATTTAAAAAGTCGAAATTTGTCTGAAGAAAAGATAACCCACCAGAGCACAAATATTCCGTTACTTTCGTTACGAAAGTCGGAACAATAAATTCCACTCCGAATTGCTCATTTTTTATTGAATCTTTCAGACAAAACTGGCCAATCTTCCAGGGATTGTGTGCGCACTTTCCAGATCCGCCTGACACTATATTTACTTTGTGAAATATCCATGATGTGTCGTAATGGGTGGAAAATGACCAGTGAAAAAAGTGATTTATTTTCCACTCAAGTATACAGTGGAAAAAAGAAAGAGCGGAACTCCCATTCTCTTAATTAAATCCATGCATTCATTGTATTGTTTACTTTTTCCTATGTTTTTAAGCTTATTTCGCAGATCAGTTCACTCCCATTCAACGTTTTGCTCTCAGCTATCTGTGGAAAGAGCAAAACTTTCCGGTTTTTGCGCCAACTTCACGGATAAGTTTATCCCACAAAACTGCCTGTGTTATAAAATATCTGCAACTTTCACTGTGGAATAGGCCGTGGCAAAGTTTACACTAGGGATCATTTTAAGGATTAATCGCATTCAAAGTTCCGTTGTAATGCATCCGAGGAAGAATGCACAAGTTTTTGTTTTTTTTTGACCATTTTCTATTTTCTGCTTATTCTCCACGGAAATGTTTTTGCAAAATTCTCTTTAAACGTTTTGCTGAGTTTTTTTAATCAAAGTTTGACATATTCAAATTTTCTAAAGATTCTAAATTTTTACCGTTATTTAATTGATGTGTTTTTCAAAGCTATTATCAAAATAAAAATCTTTTTGAAAGTTCTTGGTGGAGTTATAATTGCGGGTCCAATTTCCTAAATTTGAGATTAGTTTTATTTTTTCTCTTCCTTGAATTTGTACGCTACTAGATATCAAGAAAACCTTTGTTAGCAAAATTCAGAAAATGGTCCATTGGTAAAGTAAGTTCATTATGGAAAATGCATGGGTGAAGCGGAGTCGTCGGAAGTACATCAGTAGTCAAAATGGGGAGTGATATACTTTAGGTGGAATTGAGAGCTTATAATAGCATTATTTAAATTGCAAAGTTTAGGTTTTACTTGAGTAACGTTCAAAAACTGCAAAAAAACTTGAAAAAATTTTCGAAAATTTTTAATTGAATTTATTTTAGTTTTTCTAGTCTTTTTTCAATAAAAATTGTTTTTCATCTTGCATTTTTATAATGACTATTAAATATACCCAATCTCCAGCTTTTGGTTTAGCTCCTTATATCACACCGAGCTGAAAAAAAACGAAAATAGTTTGAAAAACTTTGTTGTATTTTTTAAGATTGTGGTCGGGACATTTTGTGCTACTTGCATAGTAACCAGCTATCCTTGTTCCAATTAAGAGGTTTTTTATATAGAAGTATAACCAAAAAACTATAATTCGACAACTTGCATCAAAAGACAACTGGCAATAAAAAACTCGCAATAAAAGACAACTTGCAATAAAAGACAACTCGCAATATACTCACCACCGCAGTCGCATGAATCTGATGCGAGCTCGCTCAGCGGTAGGGTTCTATACAAAATTTGAGCCTATCGGAGCCACATAGAGTCTTAAGCCGGAATTCTCCCATTAAAAATTGAGTTGATGCTTTCCTTAAATTTTGCGAGTTGCCTTTGTTACGAGCTGTATTTAGTTGCGAGTTGCCTTTTGTTACGATTTGTCTTTAGTTGCGAGTTGCCGCGTTCTTCCTAAACGTACCCAACTTTCTTAACTCTGCTCCTTAATCATTTTCTGCTCTCTCTCTCTCTCGCTCTCTCTGTCTCTCCCTTTCTTTCTTTTCTTTCTTTCTTTCTTTCTTTCTTTTTTTCTTTCTTTCTCTCTTTCTCGCTTTCACTCTATATCTCTCATTCTCTCACTTTTGCCTTATTCTCTCTCTCTATCTCTCTCTTTCCCCGTCTCTCTCTCTCTCTCTCTCTCTCTATCTCTCTCTCTCTATCTCTCTCTCTCTCTCTCTCTCTCTCTCTTTATCTCTGCTGCTTTATAAACATTTCTGCTCGACCAGCCAATTCTACTAATTTTACCTAATTCGGGTGCTAGCAAAATTGTACTGGACCTGGTTTGATATCACCGTTGAGCCGTAAAAACAATAATTGACTCCACCTCCTTATCAAAACATCAATCGATAACAATCATTACCAGGCCAAACTGTATATTTTTTTACTTGCAAGCGGATTCCGCAACAGAGCAACAACAGTGCTACTTTTTCTTCGATCTTCTTTGCTGTTTTGGATTCCACGAAAAAAAGTTAAATCACTGCTTTTCTCAAAATTGCTCCAAAACAGGCAAGAATCCGCAAAAAAATTAGCGGAACCGAACCATTCTGTGTAATCCCCAAGCAAAAATATGTTCGTTACATTACAAACTACAATTTTACGGAATCTGCTTTTATTTGCGGAATTTGCTTGTTAGGCTTGTAATCCACTTACAGCCTTACAATTTTTATTAGTTTTGCAGAATCAGATTACAATGACGGAATCCGGAACTACTAGAGGGAATTTACTTGCTTTTTAAAACATGTTTAAGGACTAGTCTATTGATCATAGTAATCCAGAGACAGCAAATTGTGCACTTAACCAGTGTACAGTTTTGCCTCGTAATGACGGTTCCTTTTTGTGATTACATTTTATGCGCTTTAGTGTTAAAGCAATGAATAAGATAAGAGATAAATTGTGTTTGGATTGCTCATTACCCAGACAAATTTCACATTTTTAATAAATTTAATTTCGGCAGAATTTTTCTTTCAAAGATATTGTCCTGAGCTGAAAATTAGAAAAAAATTCACCTAAGATGTATGCGTTCGAAAATTGGAGAAGATGGTTTAAAAGAACTAAATATAAATTGAATTGAGACTAACTGATTCAAATATAGCGTTAACGAATGCACAATTTACTAACATAAAAATTTTGTATTTTACATAAAAGTTGGAGGATGATTTTGCTGAAAGAGCCCACCGTGAGCTTGTTCAGTTTGCCTGAATATTGATTTATAGTAAATTTAAGCGTCAGCAAGCAGTTGATGCAATTTTTGCGTCTGCTGAATTTCTCTGTTACTGGATTCACATATATCAACTTTGTTTCTCTGATTTTTCCTGTAACACAGCAAAAAATTGATCTTTTTGAAGTTTTCGACATCGAACTATAGTGCTTGAGTTTAATTGATTGAAAATAAATTTTGCAGAGGAAAGCGGGGAATGTTTATGCTTGGTCTGGTTTTGTTATTCAGTCAATTTTAGGCGATCGAAATAATCTCTTCAACAAAAATTTTTTATGCTCAGTTGAAGATATCAACTCCCTAAAATCAAATTTTAAAAAATATTCTACCCATGATCATTTTTTTTTGAAAATTGCCAATTTGAAAATTGACAATTTCACCATGCTCTTGACTAATTTATGCGCGTTTTGATTTTTTATCCATAATCGCGAAAGCGTAACGCAAAATAATTATGCGTGACGAATTATTCCGCGTCACAAAATCGGTCCAAATTGAATTGAGGCTAGCTAAGCGATACTATTATGTTTGTACGACTCGAATTTTTAAAGTTCATTTTTGATATTGTACGAAATTTTTTTTCAATCTATTATTTTCCCAAAAAATTATCGATAGAGTACGGGGCAATCGAAGCATTCAGGGCTTTGCCTTGATATAGGAGCAGCCTTGGGTTTTTATTCAGTCAATTTTCGACTTGTCAACTAAGCGTTTCTGACGGAATTTTTCATACCATCTGAGAGATATTGTTATCCTACGCTCAAAATTGAAAACTTTTTTAAAAAAAGTTATGGGCGTTTGAAAATTGCTAGTTTGGCCAATTTGGGATAATTAAAGTGCGATACATTGCTTACTAATAATACGCGTATGAAGCAAAAAAATGCGTTCCAATATGAATTGAGGCCAGCAATTTATTTCTAGTATCACAATATTAGACACTAAACACACCCTTAGTGTTTTACAATGCGTGCAATGGGATTAATTAAACAGAAAAGGAAAAATTTTTTCTTTTTTCAATTTTTCTGTCAGTTATTCATCAAAAAAAATTTCAATTGGCCTTAAATGCAGCCTGAATATGCAAGGCTTTGCCTTGATAAATGAGCACTCTTACTTAACTTAAGTTTTTTCAAACCGCATAGCAGAAAAAATCCAATATTTTTTTTGCAATACAAAAAGTTTTCTTGCAACTTTTTAGACTTCATATTTTTGAAAAGTTGACTAGGTTTGATTGAAACTTTTGCTTTACTTGCTCCTTTCCACCAGGATTTTTTTTTGCATTCACTTTTAAAAAACACTTTGTTTATGGGACAAAGTCTTACATGTAACGACTGCCACTTAAGCTCTCTGCAATAGATTTTAATAAAAATTCTCCAAAAAATTTCCATAAAAGA